CGTGTTAAGTATAGGATTTTCAAAGCTAAGGTTGTGGGTTCGAATCTACTTGGTGTCATTTGAATTTTTCTTTCTTTCTTTCAAGTTTAAAGTTTCAGACGGAAAATTTCTAAGTTGAACGTAGTAGTTAATTAGGTATTCAAGGGCAATAAGTACATTAGTATTCAAGGGCAATATCTAGATATTGCCCTGAAACTTCGATATAAAGCACTTGAATACACAATGAGCTGTGGAATAAGCTAGATACAACACTATGAATAACAAAGAAAACTGAATCAAGTATGAAATAAGACAAAATATAACATCATAATCTTTTCACTCGTGTCTATCAATTTTCAAAAATAGCTAGTCCGACTTCACGCCCCAGGGGCGTTAGGTTTTGAAATAAAAAAACTGTTTCTACAATAAAATTATCAATTTCAAGATGTGACCTAATTCGTGCAGCGATAAGTACAGAATTTCAGACAAGATTAGAAAACTGATACTTCAGACTTGGATTGCTAATCATATTCAATGAAGTCTTAATACTGACCAGTGTGGCATCTTCTGCCACTGAACCCAAATAATTGAATGCTGTAAACTTTGCAGGCAAGTCATCTTGATCAGCAATATTAACAACTAAAATAGTCCAGTTACTAAGACCTGGTTGATCCTGAAACAAAGTCGAGAAAATGTTTAGAAAAAAAAATCGGCATTTTGAATTTTAATTGAGGTGACATGACCATTAAACCAGACAAAACATTCATTCCAAATATGAACGACAAAAGATTAACCCTGAGTTTCCGTAAAAAGATAGTACGCTTTACAAGTAGTACATAACTGAAATTAATCAGAAATATACCATAAAACGTAGTAAAACTTGACTCGCCAGCTTTGTTTCTTACCCGTACGGTTATGTTGAGTGTGTATTCTATTTGTTGTTCATAATCCAGCTTCGATGAGATGCTTACTTTACCAGTGCCATCAATTGCGAATTTTCCACCCTAAAAATTTAAATGATATACAGCCCATTGTTCAATATACATTTCAATATCAACGAAAGACACTCAGCAACGAAGCAATATTTCAATGCTCACATCATTGCCGCTGACTATGCTGTACTGCAGATTCGAATTTAAAGTAGCATCGCCATCAACTGCACTTTGGGAAAATATCAGAACACCAACCGATGTAGCCTGAAGACAAAATTTTTGGGGGCATATTATGATTAGAATTTTGTGAAATAGATTTATATGCAATTCATCACTGCAATTTTAATAAAAAGTTAGATAATTACCTCACTAGTTGAAACTTCATAGAGCCTTTTTGGGAATGATGGTACATTATCGTTGATGTCAGTTATTACACATCTAAATGTAGCAGTTACCTGCAATATTACAGCATATCAATATGATTAACTTTGTATAAAATATTTCAACATTTGTGAAAATCGTAACTACTCGCGGAGCATCTTTTGATGCGAAGTTAGAGTGACCGACATGAGAAGTTGAGATAAATTTTCGTCGATCACTGTAGACTTTATATGACCTTAATATAAAACAAAATTTGCTTAACCTGTACTAGTTACTGAAAGTTATCTATTCATTAGTGTGACATATGTATCTCTTATTCGCCCTACAGTTATAAAGCATGCGCAAATATGCTTTCAACTTCCAAAATCAGTGCGTTCCTGAAATATTACACTGGAAAAGTTACCAGGATTTAACATTAAATACCTTTCTAAAACATAACATAGACCTTTTCTGAGTTTAGTGTTAAAAGTTTACGGTAGGTTAATCGCATTTTGTAGGTTTGGATTTAAAAAAAACATTTGGTGGTTACGGCTCTTAGTTGACGGATTTTTGAAACATAGAATGTAAACACCATGTCTTTTTTTAAATGTTTAATGTTTAAAAACAATCATCGCGCACAGAGAAGTTAAAACAATTTGTGGGGTTTGTGGGGATATCTTTGAATGTTGAATTGAGGTTGGCAAACGTGGTCGACATCAAATCGAAGTAAAGAACATGCGTAGTTACTAAAAGAAGGAATGACCTAAAATGATCTAAAATGACCTAAAATGATCTAAAATGACCTAAAATGATCTAAAATGACCTAAAATGATCTAAAATGACCTAAAATGATCTAAAATGACCTAAAATGATCTAAAATGATCTAAAATGATCTAAAATGACCTAAAATAAACAACATTTAGTGGAAATGGTGATATTTTGTATTATCGTGGCACAACAAAACCNCTCAAATTATTCAACCAATCAAATGATTGTTACCGTGCAGTGTAAATTTTTCCCTTACAGTAATATGAACCAATCAAATATTTTTACCATGCAAAGTTATTTTTCCCTCAAATCATTTGACCAATCAAATTATTGTTATTAATCTACAACGCGCAAGGCACAACCAGCAACACAACCAAGAACTACATCGGACTGACAGAAGGAACATTCAAACAAAGATTCTCGCAGCACAAATATACATTTAAACACAGAAAACACATCAACAGCACCGAACTTTCTAAGTACATCTGGCAACTGAAAGACAAAAAACAAGACTTCAACATCAAATTGACAATTATCAGCCGTGCAAGACCCTACAACAACATATCCAAACGATACGACCTCTGCCTTACAGAAAAACTTATGATAATTAAACACAGTAACGACAATATACTAAACAAAAGATCAGAACTCATCTCTAAATGCCGACACAAAAACAAATTCTACCTGAAAAACACTTGACACCTCTACAGCCTATTGTATTCACACCTACGCAGTTTTAATTAATTAATAGTATACTCTCCTTTGTAATTTTTACCTTCACACCTATTGTTTCCAACATAACTATCACGTATTGTATGTAAATAGCCTAGCACTTAGCCTTTTGTTCTATACCATGTATATATATCTAGATTATAGGAATGTTTATCATTAGATACTGTCTGATGAGTGCGTAGCACGAAACTCGGAGTTACAGCAAAATCTTGCCTCTTTGATATCATATATATAAGATCGTATGTAATTAATTCATATTTGAATAATTCATATTCCATATATTTTGGGTCTTTGATTGTCTAGTTTGTATAAAAACTCCAAATTTTAACAATTAGTACAATTTATAATTATAGATCAGGTGAATATTATCTAAGAATGTATTTTGATAATGTATAGACTAAGTAGAGTTCTTAATAGAAAGAAAAATGATTTTTAAATAACATCCCACATGGATGAAAAGTCGTTCATTTTTAACTCGAAGATTGCGAAGCAATCGAAGAGTTATTGGAGGGGACGAGTCTGTCACTCACTCAATCACTCACTCAGGCACTCACTTTCCTGTAAACTTGAGCCTTCGTTACTTGTGTTCAGAATTATAATTTGTTCTCATCGTTCTCTATCAAATTACTCATTAAGTTACAGTTACCGGGTTCCCTGATCTATATTTGGTTGAATTTATTTATTTTTTGACAAAGAAAGGAATCTAATTAAAGAAATGTCAGCTCCTCTGAGTCTTGAACTTCAAACCTCTGAATTAAGCCTTATCTACACGGACAATTTTTTATTTGCTGCCTGCCCACACGGGAAAAAAAATTGTCACATATAGTTGTCACATAAAAATTGTTCGTGTAGACGGGGCTTTAAGGCCTGTTTACACTTGCAAATTTTGCAGGGCGATTGTCGCGCGCAATCTCCTATAGTTACGAACATGCTTGAAATTTAACGGCAAACAGCAGAGCTGAAACAATAACTTAAGAATTTTGTGCCCGATCTTATGCTTTTGGTAGTCATTGGAAAGAGCGGCTTTTCACGATTATGGCAAACTCAAAATAACCCACTCTCGCATTGAAAMTGCAAGGTTAAACTCTAAAAAAGCAGGTCACGTGATCTTTTCTGCCGTTTGCCGTTTGCCGTGAACGTTATGCTAAACCTCTCTAATCGCAGGGCTGTTTACACGTACGATTTGAGGTGCGCGAGAGGAAAGTGGCGATTGTCGCGCGACAATCGCKCTGCAAAAATTGCAAGTGTAAACGGGCCTTTAAAAATCGAAGACACGGCTTCCATTCGGCCACGCGTACCAATGTTATATAATTGTGGTTAGACTTGTCTTTGAAGTGCAGGTGCTCGCTCCTGGTTGTCAAGAATCAAAGTTAAAAATGATTAGTTTTAACGAAAAAGAAAATTGTATTCATAAATCGTTCACATTAAAATTCTATTTGCAAAGTAAATCATAATTTGATTCGTCTTACCGTTCAGTCTCAAAGGTTGAAGCAAGCAAAGAAGACGATCCTCCAAATTCGCCGTTTTAAAATGATTGTACGAAGGTGTTGGCCCGTGCTTATCGAGAGCCCAAGTTAATATTTCTTGATATTTGTTGTATTTGGATTTTAAAGGAGTTTCAATAAACTTCATTTTAGAGGATGTTAAAATACTTATTTCCCTCCTTTGACGCGCAGAACACAAAAGACTTGGTTGAGGAAAACTTAGTTTCGTCTTTACTAGACCTTCTCAATTCCTCTACAACAGTTTTCCCCAACCAAAGCTTGTGTTTTCTGTGGCGTCAAAGGAGGGATAAGAGTTATTTGACATCCTCTAAAATCAAGTTTTAACTTAATTTTTTAATATTCTTGCCTTAACTTGCACTCCTTTATACATCAACATTCAAAGACTATCTGAATTAAATTTGATAGTGTCTTTTGCATATATGAAGAATACAGGCATCTGCAACACATCTGTTGCTTCTAGATACAAATCCAAAATTTCCTTGCGTACTTACTCGGACAGTTTCTTTGTTATCTAACAAAAGTACCCAAAACACAAATTTCTCTCTCCGACAGATTAAGATATTTTAAGAAATTGTTCCTTTAAGCCTTGTTAAACCGGGTACTATTTGACTGTTTCATGGTACATGTGAACTTGCTTTTTAAACAAAACTGTTTTTTGACACACTAAAACCAAGACTTTCAATGAAACTTATTTCGTCTATTGACCTTTTCAATCATTGATACGTTTAAGCCACAAATTATTTGATGATTCAATTAATTGGCTGTTTTTTGAAGTTTATATTGTTTGATTTAATTAAACTAGCTTTTTTTTAATTGCTTTTTGACACTTGCGGTGATTTTTTTGCGTCTTTCGGTGCCAGATGTAGCAGTACTAGACGTGACAGCATTTACCCAACGATCGCAAATTTTACATATTTGTGGCTAAAACAAAAGTCAAACTTAGTAGTTTTTGGGTAATTTCATAAGTAATGAATGTAGAAAAATAAAGCCATAATGTAGCACGTGATCATGTGATCTAGTATCTCACTAGTATTCATCGATTTGTTTCAGCTTTGCTTTGATTTTTTTCTGGTATTCTGGTTTTCCTTGCGAGGATGCAACATGAGAAATATTAATCATTGTTATATTGGTAAATTATTTTCACTGTTTTCTCGCTCTCTTATTGGACGATTCGGTGTCACGTGTCCGGAGCTAAAATCAACTGTTGACTGATCGGTCAACAGTTTGGCGATTGTTGACCGCTTGGCCATTGGCGGGAAAGGATCGCTTCGCGTCGAGTAACAGTTTGTAAAGGCGGGAATTGTTTTTTGCTGCTTTCGAGTGTTTACAAAATGGAGCCGGCATCAAAAAGATTTTCAAATCTTAGTCAAGAAATAGACGAAATGGTTGTCAACAAAGACTCGGAAAACMCTAACAAAGCTACAAAGAATTCTGCAGAGAAACCAAGAGAGAAACGGTGAATTTGGACAAATGTCACGCTAAATTTCTATTCAGGAACTCATTGACTGTTTCATTCATACTGGGTGATTGATTTGCGACCAGGCCTTCATATGAATTCGCCAAGGTTGTAAACCAGAGCCCGTGCATGTTTGTTAAGTGGTCATATTTGAAAGTGTATAAAGGAAAGGGAAAACCCGCAGCTCTCCTTTCACTCAGATAAACAGTACAATTCGTGTTAAATTTATTTGCATAACTAAACAAAATGATTATAGAATTAAACCTTTAAGAATTGAATGCTCATATCAAACATTTTCCACCTTAAATTCACACGTGTTTTTCAGAAGGGAATTTAGTCGAACTTTTTTCACGATGRAATTTTGTTTTGAGTCGTTTCAACATAAACAGTCGCTATCAAGACATAACACGAAAAACCCCAGTCGCCGTTCTAGCTCTCGTTGTAAGGTCAAAGCTAGTAAATGTGTAACCGATCTGTTACATAACGTCAACCTGTTGTATCGTCGAGCACGCTTACGGCTTATTGCCGAAAATGCGACAAAGGATAAGGATGAACTACGACTGTTGTCACTACCAAACACAACAAACGCTTTAACTCTATTGGAATACGTGGAGAAGCTTAGAGGAAACAAGAGCTAAGAAAAAGGATTTGCAATGGTCCCTCCTAAGATACTTTGGACTTGAACGTCGCTTCAACGACCTTCTGAAGTCTTCGTGAAGTCGGCCATTGCTTCGCATGCAATGGAGAACCCGCGTAGAACACAGACCAATAATTTTTATCAGGGAGGGGAGTCTCTTGGTATTGAAAAAAAATTATTTATTATTTCATTTTTAAGATAAAATAATTCTATTTCTATGACGACAAATATTTGATTGACATTTAATAAAAGCTATTTTATAAAGATTTCAATTTCTCTTTGCGTTTTAGCTTTGATTTTTCGGATAGAATAAAATGGCAGGCAGCCTACTCCACTCGGTCGAGTTTTGCTGTGCAAATTCCTCCCGTCGGGGGGCTATGTTTACAACATAAGCTTGTCAGCTTTGCGCTGATTGGCTAGTCACATTTTCTCAAATCACCCAGTAAAGTTTTGCTAATTTTTTGGCATTTGTATATTTTTATTATTTTTATTTTCAAGCACAATGCAGTAATCTAAACGCTCAACATCTTGCTATTTTGTCGTGACGTTCACAGTTATTATATTCACAATAAAGTATTATTGGAAATCATCTTGCAATGTGTTTTGATTTATTTTTACTCACATAATTTACCAATATAACAAAACACTTGTGCCGAGGGAAACATTGAGATTCGATGGAAACAAAAACTAACCGTTTCCCGAGGGAACAGTCATTAAGTGTATAATGTTACGTATTGAAGTTAATATTGTTGTTGAAGATGGGTTTTCTTAGGGATTCAGTTGTTATTGTTTTTTTGACACTTGCGGTAATTTTATTTGTTTTTCGAATCCAGATGTAGCGCTTCTGGTAGACATAATTGTAGCTCGAGTGGTATTCATCTCGCCGGCGCTCGCCGATGTTTATCCAGAACCGAAGTTAAATTATAACACTATGTTCATAAATCGTTTACTCCAAACTCTATTCTTTAAGTAATTATAATTTGATTAGTCGTTATATCTTTCTGATTTTGTCTTCACAATCAATCTTCGAGTTGTGTTGCCATTGGCGGCTTGATCTTGTATATATTGTATGCGCGCCCGAATGAGTATCGGGATTGCGAGACGTTCCCGCGGGGACAAGAGGGTAGTGAGGGAGGGGTGGTTTGGGTAAGTCGTAAAAGCTTGTGAGGGTAGGGGTAGGCAGGATTAGTTATGACGTCATCACAGATAATGACGTAATTACACAGGGAGTCCATCTATCACGAAAAATACGAATGTATCCGATAAATAACGAAAATGTACCGGAGTAAACGCGAGGAAATCACGGATTACAGCCACACGCACTTACAAGGCAATAGCATAGTGGCTTGAGCTTCGTTCCGAGGCACTAGCCACAAACATTAGTGACTTATTAACTAGTCCCTCACACACATCATCTATCTCCCTCCTATAACTCTTCGATTGCTTCGCAATCTTCGAGTTAAAAATTAGATAAACAATTAACTATAGCTTCCTCTTTGTCTTAGAGCATATAAGATATGCATATTACATACCGTATTTGGAGATGCAGTGCTTTTTTTAGCTGTTATAGTGCCAGTTATTGTCCTAGAAATCAGAGCCTGTCAAATTTGCAAAAGAGTAATTATTGAGTACATGACTTTAAGTGTAACTAATGCGAACACAATTTCTGTCATAAAGAAATATACTTTAAAGCAGAGTGCATTCAGAGTGCATTCATTTGAGAAACACTTTAGAAAACTTCAAGGTATTTTGCACAATTTCACTAAAAACTATTTTTTAGATATAGTGAATGCACACCAGTGTCTAAGTTGGTATTACTGGAAAAAATTGCGCGCTTTAAGTATAGTTTAAAACACGAGAGAGTTTTTTATTCAGGTATAAATATTCGAGCCGAAGGCGAGAATCTTTATATCTAATAAAACACGATCTCGAGTGTTTTAAACGGCTTCAAAAACTCCAACACTAATTTGAAACTCAAATCCGTTAAAATTCTTGGAGAAATTGCCAAATATATTTTGAGATAAATGGGGAAAACTGATCATGCGCGAATTACTTTACAAAGCACTCTTGTCATCCCACATTGAATACGCATAAAGTAAAATAGAAGCGCTCTTGGTTGTTTACTGCAATCGGTTGACATCCTGCATTGGTTAGGGATCAGTACTCGGTCAGTTTGTTAAGTGAGTTTCCTGTGTTTGCCCCGCTAGTTTGAATCTGCATGGGTGTGTCTAGAGATCGAACTGTTACAGTCAAGAAATCGGAGGGAGTTGTCCTGGATCACTCGGCGTTCTGCGGTCTGTTGGAAAAAGGGTGCTTTCTGTGATCCTGCGCATGTGACGCAAATTGTCAAAGTGGGAGAGGAATACCATGTCTCCTTCAAATCAAATGAGATAATGATGGACATCGCAAAGAATTTTAGAAGGGAGTCGGAGCTGTGGTCCTTTTTATTCGACCCAGTTGAAAAGAAAAGGGCATACATCAGGGTTAATGACATGCCCTACGAGATGCCGTCCGCGTCCATCGCTGCTGCTTTCAAAGAGTGTGGGAAGGTTGGCGAGGTAACTCGCGACATGTTCCCCGGTAGAAGTTTCTTCAATGGGATCAGGACGGTTCCAATTTTTCTAAGAGAGGACATTGAGCTTCCCGAGTCGATCACCGTTGAAGGTTTTGTGGGTCGAGTACTAAACACCAGTATCCCACGCTTCTCCCTCTGCAAGAGGAATGGACACACGAGGAAAAATTGCCCTGATCTAATATGCAATCGTTGTGGCGAATGGGGTCATTTCGCTAATCGTTGCCCAGAAGCATATTGCACTAAATGTAAAGTCAATGGACACTGGACTCGTCAATGTAAGATTAGTCTTGCTAAAAAGAAGGCTCCAGAGCCCCCAAAAGGTGCACCTAAGAAGAGCTCGGGGCGCTCCTATGCCTCAGCGGCTTCCCCCCCCCGGTGGTGCTGAGGCTGCATCCGCTGTGCAGCCTACCTCTACCCGTCCTGCTCCTGCTTGGTGTTACTGGTGGAAGGACAAAGCGTATGTGTGGACCGGACAAGGACGTACAGGTTGTTACGGTGAGACCTACGTGGGGTGACGCTTGTGAAGATGCCGAGCCTGGGGCAGTTTTCGAAAGGAGGCCGGACTTGAACATTCCAACAAACACCCGCTTTGAAATACTTAATCAGTCTGGTGAAGTTGTCACGGAGGGTGTTGAATCGTCTGGTGATGCAGCTATTTAATTTCCATACGTTCGTGGAATGGCGTCTGTGAGTCGTTGTAACCTTGTTGTCCATACATTGTCAAAGTGGGATGTCGTGTTTGTGCAGGAATCGTATGTTTGTAATTTGTCGAAGGCCAAGCGTGTTCAGGACGTTTGGACGGGTCAGTGTCTGTGGAGTTTTGGAGGGGTGAAAAGTACGGGGGTTGGGATTTTGTTGAATGACAGGTGTGGTCTGAAGACTAGGGACGTGAGGAGAGACACGGAGGGTAGAGTTGTGAGTGTGTGCTAGTGGAGTCGAATGGAGCGCGCGTGTCTTGGATGTGTGCGTATTCTCCGGATGGGGTGAGAGTGCGTAAAGAGTTTTTTCGTAGTTTGTATCAGTATGTTTTTCCTGCTTCTCGCCTTGTGCTTGCTGGGGATTTTAATTGTGTGCTGTGGGATGTAGATACTTCTTGTGTGTCGGGTGCAAATAAGATAGGGGCTGTAGAGTTAAGGGAATTTTTGGAGGATTGGGACCTTGTAGACCTGTGGGTTAAATTTCATGGGAGGGCTTCGGTGTTTACTTGGGTTGGCAGGGGGATTGGGTCGCGTTTAGATCGTATTTATGTGTCCAGGGGTCTTGTGTCGTCTGTATTATCCGTGTATTTAGAGCCTTTGGGATTGTCCGATCATGATGGTGTAAAGTGTCGTTTTGTTGGGCTGGGTGAGGGGGTGCCGAGGGGTAGATGGAAGTTTAACAATGGGTTTTTGAAGGATAAGAGGTTTGTAGAGGGATGTAGGGCGTGGTTGGTTGAAAGACTTGTGGCGTTGGATGATGACGAGGACTAGTGGGATGTGTGGCCGAGGTTGAAGGAGGAGATAAAGGAGTTTTGTGTTGGAAACGGGAAGGAAAGGGCGAGATGGAGAAGGTTGAGAAGGCATGGGTTGGCTAAGAGTATTATTAGGTTTAAGAGGAGGTTGGCGGTTGGGGAGCTGGTTGGTGACGAAATTTTGAAGATGGAGGCGGATTTTAAGGCATTGGTGATGGAGGAATTTGAGGGGGTGAAGGTGAGGAGTAGAGCAGAGTGGATTGAGTCTGGGAAAAGCCTACTAGGTTTTTCTTCAGTCTCATGCGTGAGAGGGAAAAAACTAACAGAATGGAGGTTTTGAAGGATAATGATGGGGTGGAAAGGACGGAACAGGATGAGATGTTGGATGTCGTCGAGGGGTTTTATAGGGATTTGTTTACTAAGGAAGAGTTTGATGTGGGCGTGCAGGATGATTTGTTGGAGAAGGTTGARAGGGTGTTGAGTGATGAGGAGAGGCAAAGTTGTGAAGGGATGTTATCTGTGGACGAGTTGAATGGAGCTTTGGTTGGCATGTCGTTAGGGAAGGCGCCGGGTGAGGATGGCTTGCCTGTTGAGTTTTATCGTTGTTTTAGTGACTTGTTGTTGCTTGTGCTGTGTAAAGTTGTTATTCTGGTTGGGGTAGGGGTGCGTTGCCGGATGGGATGGTTAGGGGTGTGGTTAGGTTGTTGTTCAAGAAGGGAGATAGGAAGGATCTGAAGAATTGGAGGCCTACCTCCCTGTTGAATGTTGATTACAAGGTGGTGGCGAAGGCGTTGAGTTTAAGGTTGAAGAGAGTCATGGCTGTGGTTGTAGTGGAGGATCAAACGTGTGCGGTGATGGGTACGTCGATTGTGGATAATTTGTGTTTGGTGAGGGATGTCTTGGGGGATGTTGAAAGGATGGGCGTTAGTGGTGCTGTCATATAGTTGGATCAGGAGAGGGCGTTTGATAGGGTTGACAGGTTGTTTCTTGGGAGGGTTTTGAGGAGGATGGGGTTTGGAGAGTGTTTTTGCATGTGGATGTCGGTGCTGTATAATGGGGCTTGTTGTAAAGTGTTGTGTAATGGGCTGTTGACTGGTGATGTGTGTTTGGAGAAGGGGATAAGGCAAGGGTGCCCTCTGTCCCCTATGTTGTATGTACTGTTTGTGGAAGTGTTGGCGTGTTATATACGAAGGATGGAGGGGACAAATGGTTTTCTTGTGCCGGGTACGGGAAGGGGGATTCGAAGTTGGGACAATATGCTGGTGATGTTACGTGTATTTTGAGGGATGGGAGGTCTGTTGAAAGACTGTTGGATGTTGTGGAGTATTTTGGGTTGGGTACTGGTGCGAGATTGAATGGAGGGAAGTCTGAGGCGATGTGGATTGGGAAATGGAAGAGCAAGACGGATAAGCCGTGGGGGTTGAAGTTGGTTGTTAAGATGAAAGTGTTGGGTGTATGGTTTGGCGAGAGATGAGAATTGAATTTCGAAGGTTGACAAGTTGAAGAAGGTGTTGGATAGATGGAAGGGTTGGAGGCTGTCGGGAAGGTTTTGATTGTAAAGGTGTTGGGTTTGTCGAAGTTGGAGTATGTTGGGAGGGTGTTAGATGTGCCGTCGGATATTGTTAGGGATGTTAATAAGTTGGTGTGGGGGTTCCTCTGTGGTGGGAGGGTAGAACTCATCAAAAGGGCGACCTGGTTATTACCGTTCGCCAGGGGTGGGTGTGGGATGGTGAACTGGGGAACACGAGTTAGGGCGTTGCATGTAGATAATGTTGTGTCTTCGTTGCGTCGTTGCTACATTCCCTTGTGGGGAATAGGGTCTGTGCACTTGTGGAAGGATTGGGAGATATTCGTACTAATTTGTTGCCTAATGCTGATGTGCTGCCTTTGTACTATTCTAATGTGGTATCTACGTTACGTACTGTGAAGGTGAAGTCTGATTGTACTGTTAAAAGTGTGTATGCTTTGGCTTTGTTGGAGGAGTCTTTGTTTGTGCCTCCGAGATGTGAGATATATTGGAGAAGTAGTGTTAGTCGTGCGGAGTGGAGTAGAGTGTGGAAAGGAGTGTGGTCGTCGTATGATTGTGGAGAGGTGAGCGAGGTGAGGTCGAGATCGATACATGGAGTGACCAAAGTTAGACTGAATTTAAAGAAATGGGGACACAATGTAGTGAGTGATGGGTGCGCTGTGTGTGGAAAGGTTGAGTCGGTTGAGCATTTTTTTGGAATGTAAGCGCGTGAAGAGAGCCTGGGGTTGGGTTATGTATGTGTTGCACGTGGTCGTCCAGCGCGACTTCAAGATTGATTGTAATAACGTGATCTTGTGTCTGTTTAATCATGGGAGAAGAGACGACCGTGTGATGTTGTTTGTCATTGAGACCATGTTGAATGTGATTTGGATGTTTCGTAACCGTGCTACTTTTGATAATTCTGTCTGTTCGTACGTTGAGTCTGAGTTGGTTCGTAAGTGTAAGTTTGATGTCCGTGCTCGTCAAACTGTTGACCGTTATCGTATGTCTGAAGATTGCTTCCGTGAAACGTGGCGTAATGTAATGCGTGATCAGTCATAGTTAGAGTTTTTCTTTAAGTCATTTTTAAAATATCCAAATCAAACAATAAATATCTTTGTGTATTTATTAAACAATAAAGATAACTCATTATCAACTTAAACTTGCCCCTGGCCTTAGATAATGATTATTTTGAGTATTTATTAATCTGATAATTTATTTTGTCTAGTGGCTTCACCCATTAAGGTTTCTGTACGTAAAAGTTTTCTGTTTTTCTTTTTGGAAAATATTGTATGTGGTGGAGATCGGCAGTAAAATGTCTTCTTTCAATTTTCTCTTTCGATTTTTTCATTAGGTAATTGTCCCCTTGTAATATGTGGAGGAGGTCGGCTTTAGAACTAGTTGTTTGTCTTATTCATATTTATTTAGTTAATTAGCTTAATTATTTATTTATCTACTTTTTTACACATTATTTTTTGGAGGAGGTTGGTATTAGAAAGAAATAGTCGTATCCGTAATGTTCTGAATTGTATTTATGTGGAGGAGGTCGGTCTTTAGAATTAGCTTAGTTCTTTATTCATTTAATTTCTATACATTTGTTTCATGGAGGCTGGCTTTTAGAAAGAAATAGCTTGTTTGTCCGTAGTGTTTAGAATTGTAAGGTATGAATTATATATATATAATAAAATTTTTAGAACATCAAAAAGAATCAAACCTGACACCTTTGCTAGGGTCATGGACCTTTATATAAAGGTAAAGGTTACCCTTATTACTATTCTTTATGAATGTGTGAGTTTTTGAAAGGTTAAAAATTTGATTTAAATATGATGTAAGTATCCAAAATTCTATGAATTTGATGTAAATGATTTTAAATTTCGATAATTTTAATGGGAAATTTCTATTTGATGCGTTCTCCAAACTAATCTGTCATGCAAATTTCCCGACAAAATTTCCCGCCGTTTTAGTGCACCCCCCTCAAAAAAATCCTGGATCCGCCCCTGACAAAGGTTTGCAAAGTTACAAATCGGTTACAACTTTGGCTTCTTTCAAGCAATTGACTTGACACGAGTTGACAAACCCCTAAAAAGCGATCATTTACCTATACTATTGTAGCAGCGTGAAGTCAGGGCTCAGTAGACTCTTGGAGCGTGCGAACTATTTTGGAAATTGTTCTATAGCTTATGTTGGAATTTGATAAGCAATGTAAAATATTGTCGTCCGACCTTTATGGGATTGCAGCTTACAGTTTTAAATGCCCATAAAGGTCTCCCGCTCATATTTTATATATTACTGACAATGATATATTTTTGGGGTATTTTTGAAAATTCCCGACGATCATCCACGTCCCAAATATGAGGGAGTTGTCACTCCTCGTCCCAGTTCCCCGTGTTATTAAAAGAGCATACCTCTCGATCAATTCTCTGCTTGATTGATATATGCCCTGTGTTGTTGATTGCAAAATACGTGGCTGCATCTAGTGAAATCTCAAAACTGTCCACTGCTAGCTGGTTTGTTAAGGCTTGAACGATGAATGTACCTCAACAACAGCAGAAAAACATTAAAATATATCATTGTTTTCATAAGTGGAATATTAAAACTTACCAACAGGCAATTCTTCTCGTTCAGAAAGTTGCTGAAGTCCGAGAGAGTTAGTAAAATAGAAGTTCCCTGTTGATGATATGGTAAATTACATCCAAACATCTTGAGCTCATTCGATACAATCTAACTCTTTACAGAATGATATCGAAAAATCTATTCATCGTTTTTGTAAAGTTAATATCAGCATATTTATCATTTATTCTACTGGGTGACTAATCTTCGTTTTGTTATTTTGGTGACATTAACAGGAATCATGGACATTTTGCTACCGCGGTCAGAGGTATTTCACTGGAAAAATCAAACAACTTCCATAGTATGTAAATAATTTGTAAAAATGAACTTACATACTATGTAAATTGAATTTTCCAAACTTTTCCCATAGTATGGAATTGATTTACAAACAATTTTAGTTTGGAAATAATTTGGAAATATATATATGCCTTTTTTTAAGAATTTACATACTATGGAAATAGTTTGGATATAGTTTGGAAATAGCTATGGAAAAATCCGCTGATGATAGTTTGGAAGTAAACTGGAAATAGTTTGGAAATAGTTTGTAAATGCCATAATAGGATGCCCAGATATAGTTTGGAAATAGATTGGAAATAGTTTGGAAATATGTATGTGTGCGAATGCGTGCACAGTGGAGAGAACGTAAAGCTCGAAATCTCCCACATTGAAGATTACACGCTCCTGTTGACATATAAAAGGCATGTTTTTATATCCTGTGTAGCAGCTTGGCCAAAGCTAGGGGTTATCATGTGCGCGACGGCGTGTGAATGGTCTTGGGGCCGGTAATTCCCTCCCATGCAACCAAGCAAGCCACCGTGAGTTCCTTGATAAACAAAGACCGAAAGGCGCCCCGACGTTCAAGGAATGCCCGTACGCTAGTACTCGTTTTGCAGGAAAGTCGTGATTTCAACTGTAGGTAGAGGCTAGTATAAACGTACGTGGCGTGGTCTAGGGGACCTTTTTGCTTCATACAATTTAATTTTGATAGTATTGTTTTGAATTTCTATAACAGTGAACAAAGTCGTATGCATATTTTGGGCTACCTGTGACTACACAAATTCATTCGTTAGTTTGTTCATTCAAGTTCCATTCAAGTACCTTAATTTATCTAATCTATGGAGTTTCGGCTAATTTTTTGTTTAGTTTCGAATTAACTTTTATTTTTATTAGCTTACTTTGCTAATTTGTTTTTTTATTTGAATATTTTCAAAAGACCACCTTTTCTCAGGTGACTGGGGCGAGGATGTCCATGATCCTTTGCGATACCCTATTGTCTCGGAGAGCGGGCGCCATTTTAACGGTCATTTCGAAAGTTTGTCTATTTTGCTGTCTCTAATGGCAGATTTTGTGGATTTTATTCGATTACAAATGTAAGCCTAAGACAGGTGCTTTTATTTTACTTTATTTTTGACAACAACTACATGTAAGTCAGTCGACTAAACTACAAACACACCCCCGACACACACACTCTTCTTTTTCGGTCTCAGACCCCTTTCTCTTTCTAGGCCCTAGGCCCTCTCACACACTTCCCCTCTTAAAAAATGTTGTCCTCAACATTACAACTAAATAACATATGGCAAATTGGTTGCGCACGCCAAGATGCCTGACTCTGATACGTCTACTGCCGGAGAAGTCTAYACTGATTTGTTGCTATTCAACATTTTATATAGAGTTCCAACTGTTTGTATATCTTGTGTTTAAGGCAAAGCCTTATTGCATGTGTGTCCTTTATCCAGTCCATTTAGTATTCACTCGCGCAACTACTGCTGGCCAGAAGTTCATGTAGCCTAGCTAAGTAACGACATAACAGTTAATAAACTAACAGTTCATTTTAAACAAAAGTTTCTTTGTAGTGGTCTTGCAGTGTCCCTTTAATAAACCGTTGTTAAATGATTATACATCCATGGTTGAATACAATTTCAAGGTGGGGAATACCATGGATACATGTGTGGAGGAACTTGCCACTGCTGTGGTGTCACCGTAACACCTTGGAGACCAGCGTTGACAACTGGTTGAATAGATGGCTGTCCCAGGTAGTCATATGCTATCCTGTTCGGAGGCGGTGTGATGCGTTGTGGTCTTCTCTGGACATTGTCCCTGACATCTGTGTCTTCAACTGGGTCTGGGTCCTCCTGCATCGATGAGGTTGATCCTGCAACACTTTCTATCTCAGCCTCATCTGGCTCAACTTCGAGGTTATCCCCAGCTCCATACAGTGCTTCCAGTGCCAAAGGACTAAARCCAAACTCGTCATCATCTTGTGTGCCATCTTCYGTCTCGKTAGATACATKTACCTTGTTGGTCTTTCTKGTGGGACGCTGTGGTCGGTGACTCTGACTCTTCTTACGGTGTCTTTTCTGATGTATTTGAACTTGCTCAGTTGGAAGGTGTGAACA